CCTAAACCCTAAACCCTAAACCTTAGACCTAGAGCATACAAGCCCGGAACCCGCTTAGACAGTTCCCTGAGCCCCAAACCTAGCTCGACAGTTTCCGGATCCTTCAAGCAAGGTGCCATTCTTGCTGCTGCTCGTGCTTGAGAAGGCTGTGGGGGCTTTAGGGTTTAGGGTTTAGGGTTTTACGGGGTTTTAGTGCAACTTCGGCAATATCCATGGGTACCCATCACAACATCCTGGCGTACCCTAAGCCCTAAACCCGCGTCTCAGTAGCCATCACAACATCCTCGTCGTCCTCATCCCCTGCCAGACTTCAGCTCTTCCTTCTTGTCATATGGGGGTTTAGGGTAGTTCTCTAAAGTAGGGTCCGTTTGTAGGTCCCCAATATCGTACGGCACCCTTATAAACAGGAACCTAAAAGGGACCCTAATTCAGAGAATTGCCCATATTAGAAGTCCGCGTGTCTTCATCACCGCTTTCCAGCAACACTGAGAGTGCCAACAACAAACATCTCCTCATTCCTGGGGTATTCTGGTTGTTGCTATTACCCTTGCTGTTGGGGCAATGACGACGACTGCCACTACAAGTGTTATTATGCGTAGTACGATTCTGGTTCTTATTCTTGCAGATATCACTGCTGTTACTTTCGTTCCGATTATTACTCATGTTAGTAAGATGACGACGGTCATTGATATTAGCATCGACCATTTTCTTGTGTGTTAGCATTGAAACCATTATTATTATTGTTCATACTGTTATTGTTGTTATCATCATCGCCTTCTTTTGCACCTTTAAGCCCTAAACCCTAAACCCTAAACCCTAAAGTGTTACGATCAAAGAGATCCCTGGGAGGGCGGGGGCAGCCTGGCCCTCTGGTCGGCGGTCCTGCCGCCGGCGGAGGGCATCCGGCCACAGCAGGCCGGTGGCTGACGGGTTTCTTTACAGGGCTCCTTTAAAGGGCTCCTTGGTTTAGGGTTTAGGGGTTTAGGGTTAGGGTTCCTTTAATCCTTCAAAGGTTTTTGCAGCTGCAGGAGATTTAACAGGGGGGTGTAAAGGGCTTGTATAGGGGTCGAAATAATAAGAAGTACTTTCCCGTACGGTTTCGTAGGAAAATATCACGGCCCCTATGTCAGTGCGTGGTATCCTTAACACCTATCCCAAAACGGATGTAGTTCCATAAGTCTGTGGTGTATTCTTCATATAAGAAATCTTGGAGTCCCCGATCCTGTCCCTAAACCCCGAACAACCCCTTAAACCCTCAATCTCGTAAATCCTGGACCCCAAACCGTAAATCCCAAACCCGAGCACCCTAGACCGTTTGCGCCTTACGGATTTTGTGGCGAGAAGGTCCGGCTGCGGCGAAGGCAAGAGCAAGACTATGTCCTGCGAGACTTCCGAAGAGCTCTTCCTTGACTCTGCTGTATATCAGTGCATCTCATCATTCAACACAAGCAAAAAGCAGCTTTCCGTTGTAAACACTATGTGTTAATCTAAAAATCATGTTTCATTATTCTGCAGCGATAGGAAATCCTCGAGCAAAGAGTGGCCAGATGTTTCCCAGACCTTCCAAAATCACTTAAGTAAGGAAGATGCCTTAAATCATAGTAGGGGTCCTACGATAACTTAAGGTACTGTATATGCCTAAACTAAGGAAGATACTTAAACTGTAGTAGGATCTGTAGCTTCAGGTATATCCCTTATAAACCCTAAAACCCTAAAGNNTAAACCCTTAACCCTTAACCCTTAATTGAGGGGATCTTGGAAGCTCTGGGTGTTGCAGGAGCTCCCCTCTTCTGGGCAGTCAGGGCACCAGATCAACGGTGATTGAAACGCCCCTTAAACAACCCTAAACCTTGAATCCTAAACC